ATATTAATCTCTTTATTAAATGTTTCACACATAGTGAAACAGTATGATTATTTACTGGATGACGTTTCCAATATAATCTATTATTTTTCATAATCAGATCAATTATAATAACATTGGCTTAAAAGTTTTCTTTGCTCCTTCATATTTTTCGTAGAGGTAGTAGAATTTTTTTCCAGGTATCCGGGACAGGTGTTGAATTATCCTTACCACACGTGTCCTCCGTCAATTGATTCGATAAGCAAAGCTTCTGTTATCAATTTCTCCCTCCACTCTGTTGCATTAGATTTTAAAACTGTCGTCTTATCCGATCTTATTTTATGGTCATGTGTAATTATATACTATGAGCGCTATAGTTGAACTATTCTCCAGATTTCTTGGCTTATCAGGGTCAACCTATCTGGATTTTACCAGGTGATTGCGCTCTGTGGATCACATTTATAAATTTGTGAAGGATACGTCAGCTGATCTCATTTTAATTAGCAGTTTATAAGATATACCATAATAATTTGCTTTATTCCAGAAACAGCACTAGTGATACAGTGTGGAATTTTCAGAACATATCTACAATATTGCAGCTAACTTTATCAAACATTTAGAAGGAGTATTGCAAAAAGTAAATATAAAATAAACAAAAAAACAAAAAAATAACAAAAAACATGCAAAAAGAAAAATACCAAGTAGAAAGGAAGATAAATAACAATAATAAACAATATTTCAGTATTGGGTAGTGGAAGCTATGTTATGTGTATGCGTGGTGAACAGTGACAGCTATAATCGTACAAGAGGTTATGAAATGTTCTTAAGAATGTTTATAGCCAAGATGATAAGTTAATTTGATTGAACTACACTAAATAAATAAATCATAAAATAACATTTTAGGGTTTTTTATTGTCAGGTCTAATGTGGTGTTTGTAGTGGTAGTGTGAGTAATCCTGCATAATACAAAATTTTAAGATGGTAATAACGGCGTTCACAACCAAGATTGTCAGTTCAATATTGCCGAACAAAAAAAACCCATTAACAAAACTAATATTACATGATAGTTAATGATAGGACAATTTTGTAATACTCATAGTGATAATATAGTCGGAACCAGTAGATACACAAAAAAGGAAATGGAATAAAGAATAAAAAAGTAAGCCAATGATAATAATTTTAGGCAGCTAAGTATGCTTAAGAAGGTTGTTCACTATAGAATACAAATTATAGAGAAATAAAAGAGACTAAAATTATGTTATTAACAACAAAGCAAGTCATAGGTTTCGCGCCTAACACTATCTCTATCACTTAGAACACGGGCCAAATATGGTATCGCTGAGTTCCTGTACTTGGTTGTACGAGCATATATTATTTTATACTGACTTCCGGTTCTACCTGATGAGGTGCAAGGAGAGATTTGGTATTAGAGCGGGTGTTGGGGGTCGGAGAGTATGGTTTTAGACTATTCTTCGCATGTATTCAGATGCCTTTCTACTAATGTAGTGACGAGCTGACTGAGTTTTACACCACTAGTCCTACTAACTACCTTCAACATCCTACTCAGGATGGTTAAGTCCTTTTTCAGTAACCAAGGTAAGACTAATGGGGAGCAGTAAAGTAGAATAGGTAGGATACGAGAGTTGACAAATTGTGATAGTAGAGTTTGAGTGATTCCAGTTAGTCTGAGTTTCTTGGTGTAGTTGGCTGGACGGGACACTTTCTTAAAAATCGTTAGGATATGAGATGACCAAGTAAGGTCGGAAGACTAGACCGAGGTATTTTGCATTAGACTTAGTTTCAATTTTAGCCCCTTCAACGCTACAGGCTTCATGAGTACTTATTAGTGTTTGTAGATCTCGTTTATGCCTAAAGGAGAAGTCAATAGCCTGGCATTTTGAGGGATTCAGCATGAGGCCATTTACAATTAATAGCGTTCTCTGAGCTGGTTGGTTTAGTTGCGGAGCTTTCATCGTCTTTCTGGACGACATTTTCAGCGCAGTATTTAGCCTTAAGTGAAATGATTCAAATTTCTTCATAAGTGACATAACTGCGTCTCCCGGTAACCATCTTTATATATATATTGACCTTTTTTATTGATTGGGATTTTAAACTTTCTGATCACCTGATTTACTTTTTGTTAGTTGGTATATTTCATCTATATTAACGTGTTTATTAATTGCATTTTCGTTTGCAGTTTTGCGAACCAAAAGATCCGATAGAAAAAAGAGATAAAATTTATACCATTTACAAAATAAACTGCCTTTATGAACTGTAACAAACATTATATCGGCCAAAGTGGGCGACCCCTTCGAATAAGAATCCAGGAACACAAATCAGCCGTGAAAAGACATGATATAAATTCTTTAGTATCAATGCATACAGACGATTATGGACATCAATTTGATTGGGATAATGTCAAAATCTTAGACAGAGGAAACACCGCCAAAAGTGCAGTCAGGGAATTCCTAGAAGCCAAGCCTGGTACTCAAACGAAAATGCAATTAATAAACACGTTAATATAGATGAAATAAACCAACCAATAAAAAGTAAATCAGATGATCAGAAAGTTTAAAATCCCAATCAATAGAAAACGGTCAATATATATGTAAAGATGTTTGGTCACCAGGAGACGCAATTCTATCACTCACTCATGAAGAAATTTAAATCATTTCACTTTATCCTAAATACGGCGCTGAAGATGTCGTCCAGAAGGACGATGAAAGCTCCGCAACTAAACCAACCAGCTCAGAGAACGCTATTAATTGCAAATCATCCGCCTGAATTACAAATCTATTCTATTATGAGGCCATTTAGTTTAGACCACTGAACGACGCACGACAAGAAGCTATTTAATTTGAAACAGTCTGACTGAGACTTAACAGGAAGCGAAACAGTCAGGTCATCTGCATATTTCACGAAGTTGATTCTGTCTGAAAAATGTAAGCCGTGTAATAAGAAGGAAAAGAGAAATGGAGAGAGAACGTCACCCTGAGGAACTCCGGCTTCAGTAAGCAAAGGAGAGGAAGCCACAACATAGTATACCGTGTACTGCATCCTATTAGAGAAGTAAGAATGCAGCCAGTTATTAGCCCAGGACTCAGTTTGTGTAAGGCTAAGCTTGTTTAACAAAAGGCCTCTAGGTACAGAGTCGAAAAGCAGATGTGTAATCAAGGAACGTAGAACGAACATACTTGGCCCCTTTGTCTAAGGAGGATACAATGTTGTGATGAAACACAGCAGCAGAGTCTAAAGTACTTCTACCATGTTTTTAAGCAAACTGCTTTGGATCATTTGAGAAGCTCAGTGAAATGGTTTTATTATTCACTGGACAACAATGTTTCGAACATAATTTATTGTTCGTAATATCAATTCTAACCATGCAATTTCGAAACTTTCTTTCAGCAGTTTTTCTTATTCCTCCGTACTAAATTTTATATGACTATAAACGATAAATTATGTTTGAAACGTTATCCAATAAATAGTACTGTCTCACTGTGTGATATATGTATACAATAAATAAATCAATATGTAATTAATGGCTACTAGCACGGCGTTCACAAACACACTGAGGTTTCCTGACTATCACCTAATCTTCACTTTCAGAATAAAAAACAGATTAGAAATTCAGGATTTTATCATGAGCTGACATTAGATAGAGAACCACTGGAAAAACTGGGAGTACTGGACAGCTGTTTCGTCCTAGTTTGGGACTCTTCAGCAGTACGCACCCACTGGGATCCGAACCCAGGACCTTCCGGTTACAAGGCAAGCTCGTATACCATTAAGCCACTGGGACCCGATCCAATGGCCAGTCTTTGAATTCTAACTTCTGCTAATTCATGACATAGCGCTACCGCTAGCCAAATTCACTGAAATTCTAGAAAGGCTAATTTTTTCACTAAACAAATGTAATCAAAAATATGCGACACCGTCCCTATTTTTTAAATCTAAGATTAGTGCGTCTCATAGTCAGACAAACTCCTTACAAAATGCGTTTACAAGCGATTACTGACAACCAACTGTCAGTGTGCCGTTCAGTGTTATTTCAGTCAGGATTTCCTTCTATCTTGTAATGAAAAAAGTTTAGAAGTTATCATTGAATTTATTGGGTTAATAGAAATGTATATCTCCTCTAGAATCTGAGGAATTGGCTTTTGTCATAAGAGAAATTTGCTAATACCGTTAGGCAAGAAATTAGCTTTTCTAAGCCAGTAGCAGTAGCCAAAGCTTTCAATACATAATTCTAAATAGTTCAGCTACAGTTTACTAGGCGAATCAAGGACCTTCTGGTTACAAGAAGAGCTTGCTCGTATACCATCAAGCCACTGGGACCAGATACAATTACCCATGAATTCTAACTTCTGCCACTTCATGACGTAGCGCGAACCTTTCGCTTTGCCCATGCCTTCATGGGCCATTGGATTGGGTCCTAGTGGCTTAAAGGTCTACGAGCTGCTCACCTGATCACCAGAAGGTCCTGGGTTCGAACTCCTGTGGTGACTGCGTACCAATGAAGAGTCCTGAACGAAGACGAAACAGCCTTTCAGTACTTCCAGTTAGTTTTCCAATGGTTTTCTAATTGATGTTGGCTAATGAAGAAACCCCGTCAACCAATCAATTTAGTTACACACTTTAGGTATAAACACAATCTTCTTAAAAAATAATGATTATGAGTTTTACTTCCTTGTGGGATCCATCGAGTTTGATGTCAGGAAAAATGATCAACGATTCTATTGAAAGGTAGTGATGGTGTTTATATATTTGGAAAGAGTGAAAGTTAGAATTCATTCGAATTCTTAGGATTCTGACTGACTGGTGAGCTAATAGTCTTAGTCTGGATCCTTAGATTGATGGTGGTGTGTATTCCTAAAGACTCACTCCTACTGAAAAATGTGAATCACATCTCCAGTGCCGCCTTAATTTCAATGATTCTCTTTTTGCTATATCAAGTAATATGAGACTCTATGTGTGTTACATAATTTTATAATTGGTCTTATTTGTCTTTTTTCATTGTGTTTCAGTCGATTCATAAGTACTCAGTCCTTCTATGCTTTGTCATTGGTTACATTATCTCAATGATTAGTGTAACAAGTGGAATATCTATTCTGCAGTATTTTCGGTAAGTCAAATGGTCAGTCAAATGATTAATTTCCCAATCTTCATTAATTTTCGTTATAAATATTAACCCCTCCTCCGCCCCTGCTATCCCCCTAGAAAATAGTTAATGCATGATAAGTACTTTTATGCCTAAGGGAATAAAAAATGAATTACAAACAAACTAGACAGTGAATTAATGCTTCTAGAAAAAATGCTTTAAAGAAAATTGTTACCCACAAGGTTTTATTAACAAATATGTAAAGAATGAACTCAAGAAGCTTGATACAGCTACAGTCAGTAAGAAGACTATTTTCATCAAACTCAACTACAAGGTTGACGACATTATGAGAATGGTAAATAAAAGATTAAGCGCAGCCCTGTATAGAACGTATCCTCCATCGTTATTAATCTCTCTGTCCGGAACAGCCTCTTCACTAGTGCAGTCAAAGATTGACAAGTACCCCTCACATGTTACCTCCAACTGTGTATACCAATTCACATGGATCTACGGGAGCTGTTAGATTCTGCGAACATGTACCAAGTAGTCTCCGGTTAAGGGGATCGAAATGTCTAAGCTCTTCAATCGCCGGCAAACACCTGATTGACACAGGACACTGAGTAGATGTGCTGGAATCATTTAAAATAATTAAAACAGACAAAGTACTTCAAGTCTTCTCAGGTTTGCTGAAGCTATAACAATAAAACGATTGAAGCCTGACTTATGTGTCCAAAAAGAATCCGTTGTTGGACATCAATTACCCTGGTGACCACTTCTTAGTAACTCGGTGTTTTATAATTTTCAAGTGATGGTTTGTAGGGATTTGATTGGTTTTAGGATTTCATCATGAGCTGACATTAGTTAGAGAACCATTGGAAAACCAGCTGGGAGTACTGGACAGCTGCTTCGTCCTAGTTTGAGACTCTTCACCAGTACGCACCCACCGGGATTCCAACCCAGGACCTTCAGGTTACAAGGCAAGCTCGTATACCATTAAGCCACTGTGACCCGTTCCAATGGTTTTTGAATTCTAACTTCTGCCAATTCATGACATACAGCGAATGCTAGCCAATGTCTTCGGCGAGTATTTGTCCTAACACTCGACCCGCTGCACCCTACTGCTCACGACTACCCACTGGAACCCAGGTAACTACCCAACCTGAATAGGGCCAGTCGCCAGTGAGCATCTCATTGGTATTCAAGTGTTGGTTTGTAGGGATTTGATTGGTTTCAGGATTTCATCAGGAGCTGACATTAGTTAGAGAACCATTGGAAAACCTGGGAGTACTGGACAGCTGTTTCGTCCTAGTTTGGGACTCTTCATCAGTATTAATTATGTTAGCTTATCTTTTCACTCCATCTCCCCCCCCACGCCTTTTATTTTTCGCTTGACTCTCTTAAGAGATCATTTTTCTTGATCTACTGAGTTCTACCAACTGTATTACATCATCAACTTCTCATCTGACCTCATCTGAACCGAAATTGTAAAATTATGATCTTCTCTTATTTAATTACGTAACTAATGCTAATTTTCTTCTGTTACCACCCTAACAACACAACTGTTAATTAATTTTTTTCAAGAAATTTCTCTCTAACAAGAAGTATGCATATATATATATATGTCGTAACAGTTTAGACACTCTGTAAATTGCAACGCTTTATTTTACTATGACACTCTGACAATATGCTTGCTATTGAACAAATATATGTTAAAATTGTACACTTTTTATTTTTATTTTATTAAAAAATTGAGGGTTTATGCCGCTGATGAGAACCAGAGAAATAAAACGGATCCAGAATATTCCGCGCCAATGTTTCTTGTTCCTTTGTTCAAAAATTGATAAGGTGAAAATAGATTCTTAAAGATTATAACTAGTCCTGGGTTCTGGGGAATAAGTTTTATTGTTCAGGCGTAAAACTCTTCCACTTGAGGATTTTTTTAATGGGGAGTATTGAATAGTTGTTTCCTCCTTGCTTGGAACTTTTCAGCAGTATACATACATGACCCTATCCACCAGAGATTGTATTCAGGACCATGAAGTTACCGCTGAATCACCGAGAAAATTACAATTACCGATAAATTCTTTCCCTTACTAGTTCTTCATATATATATATATATATTATGACAGCAAGTCACTGTCATGGCAAGTAACAGCTGTCCAGTAATCCATGCTGGGTTTTAATGCTACTCTAACTGAGGTCATTTGGTAACCAATTTTGTGAAATCACTTAATCCCTGCAAAAAACTAAAACTTGATGATACTGTTCTGTTGGATACTGGAGCTTTGGATTCGAAAACTTACAGGCGAAAGCTAAAAAGTTGTCAGAAGAAGCATGAAAGACACACAAGATAGCCAGTGAACACAGGAGAGATGTTGGTGTGATTAAGATAACCAACCAACCGACCGACAACAACAAGAACAACGCGCATCAAACAAGAACAATGGGGAAAAATTCGAAGATATCTGACACAATCATTTGAGCACCATCTTTTATCTCAACTACAGTCAATCCACACAAATGCTGATGTCGACACCAGACATACATTCATCGTTCTGAAATCAGTCTGGAAATCCTCTGTGTATTAAGAATTGTGTCGTCAATTCGGACTTTCAACAGGAATTTTTTAATTCATTTGTTTTATATCGGTTAGAAACAGGACCGGGATGTCATAAAAAGCATTTTAAATATAGGCAACTACAGATTTTTATTGACGTCCACCTTCCCCGCTTCTATACTGTAAATCAGATGCCTAGAAGAAATTATCAACAACGAATCAGTCAGGAACCTGTTCATCAACAAAATATGCCGAAGAAAATGGGGATGGACTGGATATACTCTGAGGACACCATCTAATGACATTGTGCATCAGTAGCACAGTGGTTAGGGCTCTCGCCGATCATGCACATAATCCAGGGTTCAATCCCCTAACCGATGCGCACCTAACATCTATGGTTGGCCTGCAACATTTGGGCTACCGATATCACATGCTGAATATTCCATACTTGTACCAAAAATACAGTGTGGAATCAAGCTGTAATCAAATAAATAAGACTTTAGAGATCAGAGTCTAAATTGAGATTTAATTGAATTTTCAAGATTTTCCCGTCGATTGATTGGACCAAAGTGCTCGGTCTCAGGTTGACATGTCTGTTGGCTTCTTGTGCAGATGCTTCGACGATGCCTGGGCATTTAATTAGAATTTAATCGGTGGATAGTGACTAGCAGTGGAATCCAGCATGACAACAAAAGTTTCCTCATAAGATAATCCTACATTATTCAGAAAAGATAACTCTTTAGGAGTCACTTATTTATCTGTTATATTGAAATAATAGAGAAGATTTGTAGCTCAGGTAAATGATTTACAATTAAAAGTATTCTCTGGGCTGGTTGGTTTAGTTGAGGAGCTTCCGTCGTCCCTCCACTGCTGAACAACATCCTATTTCAGCGCAATATTTAGCATAAAGTGAAATGATTTAAATTTCTTCATGAGTGGTGATAGAAATGTGTCTCCCGGTAACCATCTTTACATATGTACTTATCATTTTCTATTGAATTGGACTTTAAACATTGCGATCACATGATATACTTTTTATTAATTGATGATATATTTGGTCTATATTTACGTGCTGGTAATCGCATATTCACCAACAAGGAATCATCATCAAAGATCACACGAAAATTCATCCTGCCATGCATGAAAAATATCTCTTGAATAACAGCTAGAATTCTGAAACTCTTTGATATAGATATAGCTCACAAGCCAGCCAGTCAGTCAAATCGCTTAATTCGATATTATGCAAACCGAAAGACCCATCCAACAGAAAAATGAGGTAAAATTCATACCATTTACAAAATAAATTGGATGTATGAACTGTAACAGGCATTACATCGACGGTCGAAGTGCGCTTCCGCTTCAAATCAGAATCCAAGAACACAAATCAGCCGTGAAAAGACACGATATATACATTCCTGTTTCATATCAATGCATATAGACAATTATGGACATCAGTTTGATGATTGGGATAATGTCGAAATCTCAGACAGAGGAAACACCACCAGAAGTGGAGTCAGGGAATTCCCAGAAGCCAAGTCTGGTACTCAAACGAATATGTTATTAACAAACACATTGATATAGACCAAATATACAAACTAACAAAAAGTATATCAGGTGACGAGAAAGTTTAAAATCCAAGTCAATAGAAAATGGTCAATACATATGTAAAGATGGTTACTGGGAGGCGCAATTCTATCACTCATGAGAAATTTAAATCATTTTGCTTTATGTTAATTATTGCGCCAAAGATGTTGTCCAGCAGTGGGGAGACGACGAAAGCTCCTCAACTAAATCAACCAGCTCAGAGAAAACTGTTAATCGCACATTATTTGTGATATGTTGATCGAGATGAGAAGTGAATTTCTGGTTAGTCCCATGAAACTTTAAAAGATACTGCTACTTTCAAATAATATTAGGACGAATGACTATCACAGCTTCTTCAGGAGTAGAATATTCGACGACTATCCCAATATGTTCAGTTTCCATTCCCGGCTGTCACACTCCTAAAACCTAACTTTGTTAGTGGTATTCCCGGTAGAAAGGGAAAGGTTAGACTTGAGGCTAGCAATCCCACTCCGTAAAAAATTACATTATCGCTACTGAAAGTTAATAGGCTTAGGGCTCGAAACCCTATGATTAATGAGTACTGCAATAGTCGGAGATAGTAACTCAAACGGTCGATTTTTCACAATTCTTGAAAATTTGTCAGTAATTTGCATCGTACACTGTTTGAATGATGAAATTTTCGCTACAGTTTCCTATAATAACCAAATTATTCAGATCACCTTAGCACAGGATCTGCTTGATACCATAAATTGTAATTGTTTTCTCAAGAGAACCAGCATATATTTGTAAAACTACACACTACTGATCGATGGAGATGAGCAGTTGATTGAGCAGTTATACCAACTAGTAGTGCTTACCAGTCGGATTGGGCTGATCTTAACATCGGTTGTTTGGGGCTGAG